AGAGAGAGAGAGAGAGAGAGAGAGAGAGATTTAATAACACCAGAGCTCCCCAGGTTAGGGCGGACTATGATTCCACCCGACAAAAACAGCCTGAGTTTGCCCTAGTGCCGATACCGAGTATTCAACAACAGGTTTGATAATGCCCCCGTGTATTTGATTTGGTTATATTGCCTTCTTTCCTTATCAGGCTTCACCTACTTGTTTGAGGTAATGACCCACACTGTCCATTGGTGGTATTCCACTTCTTACTATTAGGGTCATGGTGAGAGAGAGAGAGAGAGAGAGAGAGAGAGAGAGAGAGAGAGAGAGAGAGAGAGAGTCTGTGTGTTGGGCGGTACCGGTGAAATTGAGTTCGGTACTTGACCGTCACTCCGTCAAACGGTCACTCCGTCAAATGGTCAACGGTCAAGCGCCAACTACAGTGTACGTCAGATTGAGACAGACAAGCCGGGACAAACAATCTCTTTGAAATTTGCAGCCACGCGGGATTAAAGTTTGCGAGCAATTTTTAAACAATAACTATACTAGATAAAATCTGATTTCATTTTCAGAATCAGTCTATCAAAATAAGCAAAACTGCTCGCTAGGAGCCCAATTTGAAGCGTTTAACTTTCACAAACACAGATTTAGTCTTATCCTTCACTTACTTTCCTTTTACTTTTTCCTTCCTCTGGTATCCTTGTGATGTGGAGGGGAGGTGCAGGTTTCGGTCCTGTGCTAGGTGTGTAGCGTCTGTGATAGATATGTTGTCCTGTGCTAGGTGTGTAGCGTCTGGGATAGATATGTTGTCCTGTGCTAGGTGTGTAGTGTCTGTGATAGATATGTTGTCCTGTGCTAGGTGTGTAGCGTCTGTGATAGATATGTTGTGTTGTTCCACGACCTTTTTAACCCCATCCAGACAGGTCTTTCTTGGTCTTCCTCTTGATTTGAAGCCGGATTCTCGGGTGTTGTAAGCTCTAGCCGCTAGTTGTTTCTGGGGCATTCTGGTTAGATGTCCAAACCATTTGACTCTTTGACGCTCTATGAATTTTATTACTGGTAGAAATCTAGTATTCCAGTTTGTAGACGTATGGTCTCGTTTCTTATGCGGTCTCTTCTGGTGACGTTGATGGTTTTGTGGAGACACCTCATTTCGCATGCATTGATTTTTCTTTCTTGTGTCAATTTCTAGACTGAACGTCCTGTTGATATAGGTGGGAATGTGTACCCAGATATATAGGCAGCGAAAGATCTTGTCAGTTCGTTAGTGTTTGAGCCCTTCATTGGATGCTTGCACTGTATGCTTCCCGGGCATGCTGAGAATCTGAGTGGTGCTGAGGGCAGGGTCTGGATGTGAGCTCTACAAAAGCAGCCAGTTAAGGGCAGGGTCTGGATGTGAGCTCTACAAAAGCAGCCAGTTAAGGGCAGGGTCTGGATGTGAGCTCTACAAAAGCAGCCAGTTAAGGGCAGGGTCTACATCGTCATTTCTTCACCCATCACCTGCCTGGCACCACTTCCTCGTACCCCCACAGCCCGTGGTTGGGGGGGGGGGTTGGTCTGAAGTGAAGGCTAGTGGAGGGAAGGAGGCGCCTCATTTCTCCTGTTGACAGAGAGACGTCTCTGCCCCACCACCCGTCTGTCGGTTTGAGTGAGTTGGAGGACAAGGAGCGGAGGAAACAATAAACATTTGATGAGAACAAAAAGCAAGGCAGACAGAGAGAGGGGAAAAAAAGAAGGAAAGAAAAGAATTGGGACCCACCCATGGCACCCTCTAACCACCCAATTCTTACAGAAAATTTAAGAAAAAACAAAACAAAGACACAAAAAGGTCACAGTTTTATTTCCTTCAATTTCATCACCCGAGTTCAAGTCAGCACAGCAAAGAAAACACAAATCCTTTAACGACTGGTGGAAGCTCAGTTCTGTGTCAGCGGTCAGCGGTCAGCGGTACACCCACAACCGGCACTGACAGATGACCGTCAGGCTCTAGGCTACTGCCTCCATCAGAATATACATTTCTACGACATCCCCTGTCCCAGCACAACAATATGTAGGGCTCAGCTTTATCAGGGAAAACTTGTTCATTTCAGCACGACACGACACAACAATCTGGTGCTGTCTGATGAGACAAACAGACAAACAGACAAACAGACAAACAGGAAATAACGATTGGGTGGAGTTACACTAGACGTGATACAGAGTCGAGGCAATCGGAGACTACAACAAAAGTGATACACGATATACGATATATGAAGCTCATAGATCCAGACAATCTACAAAGTCCAGGAAACTGGAAGGATCAAGGTCAACAAATCGATACAGATATCCAAATACAAAGTCAGATGTATCAATAAAGGAAACATTACACAGTGCATAGATCTACTCCCCCCCCCCCCCAGGTCCCTATCAAATTACAATTCATCAACAGAATACAAAAACAATCCCACCAATAAGTGTTGGCTCAACCACAAGTCAGTATGTGTCACAGGTCAACAGTCACCAGTGGGTACATAAGTGTTGGCTCAACCACAAGTCAGTATGTGTCACGGGTCAACAGTCACCAGTGGGTACATAAGTGTTGGCTCAACCACAAGTCAGTATGTGTCACAGGTCAACAGTCACCAGTAGGTACATAAGTGTTGGCGGTACATAACGTACATAAGTGTTGGTGGTACATAAGTGTTGGGTCATATGTCCAAAAGTCACCAACAGATACATAAGTGTTGGGTCATATGTCCACAAAGTCACCAACAGATACATAAGTGTCAGGTCCCACACATTACAAGCCAACAGTAGAGCAGAAACAGTCAGAACTATAACAAAAACAGTTTAGTGTCCACGGTATCTTAGAGAAAACTAAAGCCAGGCTAGATCTATGTCATCAGGCATAGCCAGAATCCACGGTGACTTGCCATGAGCTGGTAGGTTTTTCACCAACAATTATTATTGTGACATGATCATCAGTTCATTTAATACAACATCATCATAACAACAATATCAACACCTGCTAGATGGGTAGACACACACACACACACACACACACACACACACACACACACACACACACACTTCACAGACATACTGGCTCCAAATGTGGAGAAAAAAAAATCTGGGAAGGGTTACCGCATCACGTAGAAAACCCCCCCACAACTTAGCAGACTATTATCAAACAAAATATTTTTTAAAATACTGACATTATTTATCACATGCAAAATTGGAAAACATAATCTATACATATTATATTTGTGGAAGTTCGTCACTTTGGCCGCCTAAAACTTCCCAACAACTGAACTTTCGAATTTGAAAAAAAAACCAAGGGCGGTTCAGAATCCTTTAAAGGGTGCACAGTCATAATATGGAGTCGGAACTCACTGTAGTTGAATTTCAGCTTTTCATTAGTTTCGTTTAGATCAAGAGAGGACGCCATTGTGTACAAGTGAGAGTTGTGTTCACAAACAGTGCATACTGGTTCCACAATGACTTGACCATCGATTCTTTGGAGTCCGTTCATCGAACAGGGGACCCGGCTAATTTTTCCATAAGTC